AATATTTCAGCAAGACCAATAAAATCATACTTTAGACAGAAACACAAACCTTGTATTCAAATATTGACAAATTTAAGATCTGTCTTAGACCTTCACAAACGAGGAAACGCGTAGATTCAACTGACCTTAAGTGGATTACTGCAAGAATGCTACCAGAAAAGAAACTGCATTTGTATGTTCCAGAAGACCAGCAGGTTCTTCCTGGGTGGACAGGTTTTAACCAAAATACTTCTAACATAAAGCCTTTGATATCTGTGATTGGTTACTGTCCAGTAATAAATGCTTCACCAACAGATTTCAATGCAGTTAATACTGTACTGGACTTGGCATGCAGAATTACTGAGAAAATAGGACAAAAACACACAGTTCTTGTCCTTGATGAAGCTATTTATTCCAAGGCTGTTGAAATCAGTGCAAGTAACAAGAATGAATATCCAAATTTGATTCTCAGGCTCGGGGGATTTCATATTCTGCTAGCTTTTCTGGCTGTTATTGGAAAGCGTGTTCAGTCATCTGGATTTGAGGATATCCTTATTGAAAGTGGTTCATTTGCTGAGGGTTCTATCTCCTCTATTATGAGTGGGAAAGCTTACAACAGAAGCGTGCGAGCGCACAAAATAATGTATGAAGCTATGATGAGTATTCTTCTTGACCAAGTGCTAGTAGATGATGGCTTTCTGCAAGAAAGGAAGGTTCATGGTCAGAACGTAAGAGATGCCTTTGAATCTGACGATCGTCAAAAGATTGCACAGTCTGTGCAGACAATGCGTGAGTGGTTGCCATCATATGTCAACGCAGTGGATTTGTTCAGAGAAAATGAATGTCAGAAATCGAGCATGTTCCGTTTCTGGAGTGAATACCTTTGCATGGTTGAAGTATTGTTGCAATTCATACGAGCTGAAAGATCAGGCAATCTTCATTTGCAGCTATGCTGACATACTTCTTTGCATGTGACAGACATAACTATTCGAGATATGGAACTTTCTATCTTGCTTGCATGGATGAATTGCCTACAAAAGCACCAGAGGTGCATGACATGTTCATGGCAGGAGAGTTTGTTGTTGCTCGATCAGATATGCCATTTTCCCAAGTTTCTACTGATCTCGCTCTAGAACAGACAATGAACAAAGATTCCAAAACTGCAGGTGGAGTTATTGGATTTTCACAGTCAGAGGAAACTGTTCATCGATGGATTCAAACAGCTAACTACAGAGCCAGTGTTTCTTCCAAGACATCTACTATGGCAGGCTTGAATAACACATCTGTATGCAAACCAAAAGAAATTGGGTCAAAGCGATTGAGCAGAGATGAAGAGGATGTTAGAAATGTGACAAACTGTATTCTGAAGTCAGTGAATCCATTTGCGAGTAATGAAAGTGAAACACTCATCAATTTGATGTCTGGAGAAGTAGCTCCTTCAGAGGTTGAGGACGATCTGCATCGTGCTGTTGAACTTGGAAGCGCCAAGAGAGATAACTTTGTTGCAAGGTTACTTGCAGGTAATGGATTTTTTGATCCAATAAAGAAGAACAATTTGAGAACATTTGACCATGAAGCGGACAGACATCACTATGCTGATGACTCTCAAGTCTACAGATCCATGGAGTCAAGGCCACTTCAGGCGCACAGGGCTTTGAGTGAATTGAGCACTTGTTGTGAAGACATCAAGGCGTGGATGCATTACAACAAACTAAAACTGAATAGTGACAAGACGGAATGCATTGTCCTAGGGCCACATAAAAGGAGATCACAGTGTGGTCTTACATGTTTTAGGTTTGATAATACAAACATCCAAATCGCTGACAAGGTCAAAGACCTTGGTGTGATTATCGACTCAGATGTGTCACTGGATGATCACGTTTCCCATCTAGTCCAGAGCTGCTTTGCTCAGTTGCGTACTATTGGACATATCCGACCATATCTCACCACCGAATCTGCCACCACTCTTGTCCTGTCTCTAGTTATGAGCAGGATTGATTACTGTAACTCCCTTCTCGCTGGTGCCACTAAGACACAGATAAGGAAACTTCAGCGTGTGCAAAACGCTGCTGCACGTATAGTGACCCAGTCACGTAAATCTGATGACGCTCTGAAACTCCTACATTCTTTACACTGGCTGCCCATTCACTATAGGATTCAATTCAAGCTTCTGTGCCTCACTTTCCGCTGTCTGTCTGGATCTGCCCTTCGTATCTGGCCCAGTCCTCACACAGCACCGCCCATGTCGCTCTCCATTCACAGGATAAACGTTTCCTCGTTATCCCCACTGTTAGGACTTCTACGTATGGTGAAAGGTCCTTTTCGTATGCAGCCTCTACAGCCTGGAATCAACTACCTCAATATCTACGTGACTGTACAGAACTTTCTAATTTTAAATCTTTACTAAAGACGCACTTTTTCAGATTAGCTTATGAGTGTAAACTATAATTCATTGCATTGTTTCCATGTATCTCTCTAATCTTTTATTCTCTCCTATAGTCTGTTTGTATGTACTTCTATGTCTTGCGCTTTGAGCATGTTGTACATGGAGAACAGCGCATTACAAGCATGCTATTATTATGTTCGGAAAAAACATGTGAAATCAGTTTCAAGAAACAGTGTACTGACCAGTGATCGAGAACTCTTCAGCAGGCTTGTCATTGTTGCACAGATGCGACAGTTTTCTCTGTCCGAACTATTCACATATGAGTTAACAAATATTCCCTTGTCTATAGCTCTTACAGATGGATCAATGCGAAAAGCACAAAAGTCTGGTCTCATGCAAGTCATTGAGGAAAATGTTGAATCAGCGACGATGGTCTCTATAAGTGGTACAATTTGCAGAATCTTTGACTTTATGGCTGTTATCCAGGCCTCACGCTCTATCGCACTGTCATGTAAACATTTTAAAGAATATGCATTAAAGTTTCCATGCACTCCTTTCCAGAGCTGCTGGTGCTAAAAGAATTGACATAGTATGTGACAGATACGACAAGGAAAAGTCAATCAAAGTAAATGAGCGAAAGAGGCGGACTGACAATACTGGTATCAAACTAGCAATCAGACCCTTGGTTCCGGTACCCAAACAATGGGACAAGTTCATTTCCCACCATGAAAATAAATCTACCCTAGCACACTTTCTTGCAGAGACATGGAAATGCTTTGGTCCCAAGCTAGAAGAATCACAAGATCTTCTTGTTGCTGGATGCAACGCAGGTAATGGTCTTGAGTGTTTCTGTGTTCGCGCTACTGGGGATCCTGAGGTAGTAACGCACATGTTCTGTTCACATGAAGAGGCGGACACCAGGATGATATTTCATGCCGCTGACGCCTTTCATAAAGGTTTCTCAACAGTGGTCATCAGTAGTCCAGATACAGATGTACTAGTTCTTTGCATTGTCTTTGCCAAAAACTTTGGTGGACAGTTTTTCTGTGAAATTGGATCTGACAACAAAAAGCTACATTGACATCAACAAGTGTGTGGATCTGCTTGGTCAGCCAGTGGCATCCTCACTGGCAGGAATGCACGCAATAACAGGTTGCGATACAACTTCAAGCTTCTATGGTATTGGTAAGAGAACAACCTTGATGGCTTTAAAGCAGAATCAACATCTCTTGACAAGTCTGGGATAATCGTTTGAGGTTTCTGATGAGGTAATGCAGAACTGTGAACAATACATTATATCTTGTTATTCTTCATCAAGCAGTAGCAGTTCTGTCAATACTTTTCGATACCTACAGTTCTTAAAGAATCAGAAGAATAGTATGAATATGCCACCATGCCAGTCGACTTTGAAGCTCCATATTAAGAGAGCAAACTATCAAACAGGTATCTGGAAGCGGTCTCTTCAGGGGAACCCGACTGTTCCAGATCCAGATGAGCATGGGTGGGACAATGTATGCAATCCTGTCCTTACTGATGGACCTCCAGCACCTGAAGGTCTTCTTCAGCTTCATATATGCGCCTGTAAGAGTCAATGTACACGAAGATGTAGCTGTAAGAGGCTGAACCTATTGTGTACTTCTGCATGCGGATGTGGACCTAAAACATGTTCCCTTGATCTTGAACTTTGCGACATTGACTAACACGTCAGCTGGGAATGCACTTTGACAAATAAGATCAGGAGGTAATAAATGGTATGAAGGAAATGCTGCTTGCATTATGACGACATGACTTACTCATCTTTCTTTGATGAGCATGAAAGGTATCTGGAACTACATGGACAAATTCATTGTTCCTTTTCTTTATTCTTTTTTATCATACTCAATTTATGATTTGGCTTTGTTCTTGGTTTTTCTTCAGAATTATACATTTGAGAGCTTTCTGTTATATTGTGTGATTTTAATGATAGTTCAACAGTATCTTCGACATATTTGGTATTGTTGATAATTTGTAAAGCATGGAGCTGTTACTGTTGAACAGGCATTGTGTAATATTTAGCTGGTCTAAATAGAAAGTACCAACTTTTGTTTCCTTGTAATGATTTATCATGCATACATTGCCAACCAAACGTTTATATGATCTTCAAATGATATATGATGAATCCAGAAAAAACATATTTTAGTAGAATTACCTATAATTTGTCAAGTTTTTCTCATATTATTCCCATCAAATGCATTTTCTATAAAACTGACCTTTGACCTTACCAACAAATTTTTTGCAACCACGAATATATAATTATTATTGTCCACAGTTATAAATCATGATCTGAGCATTCCAAAACTACTTATTTGATGGAAATCGGTCATACCAAACCAAAGTTATTGAATTAAAGGATCCACTTATCGGTTAAAATATCACCGTAACTGAAATGAAATGTTGCACCTTAAAAGGGCCCCTGCGCGGTAGTCACGCATGGTAGCTGATGACAACCGGCTTAAAATCAAAGCTTAATCATTCCTGATTGTGAAACATCGCATCCCATTCGGTCGCCAGAACTGCACCACATTTTCACCATTTTGGGGGTCTGGCTTCTAGACCATAACGTGGAAGTAAGTTTTACCTGAGAACATGCAGGCAGTATTAATTTATGTCTGGAAATCGTTTTGATTTTGCATACAAATATGTATTTTATGTTCTGCAATCATTAAAAAAATGCAACCTATACAAATCTGTGTGTATCGGATCAGATACTGTGTAAATATATTAACCCACACTGGATGTCAACAACAGCCGTGTGACAGTTATCACAGCCTCAGCAGTTACCTCCCCTTTAAGCGGGGTCCACGCATGTATAAGAACGTGCAACACACTAGCGAGTGCACATTTGGCAAGAATGGCGTTGCGTGATGCCGGACCTAGTGTTGTTATTGTCGGCGGAGGGATCGCGGGCTTGACAGCAGCTTCACACCTCAAAAACAACGGACTGACAAACGTGACATTGTTGGAAGCACAAGAGAGACTGGGAGGCAGGATTCACACTGTGAAGTTTGGTAAGATATATTGGCAAGTTTCGTTGAGACATGCTTTGTTTGAATTGATTTCCTACCATTATCTCAAATATGGACACTGGTCCCAAATCCTAGAATCGAAAGTGATGTGATAGTCAGCTAGATACTTTTATGTCGATACATAACATCTAGTTGATAGTTGTTAATAAAGCGGTGGATGTACTCCATATGGACCAACTGACAGAGTTCATCGCCCTGGTTATTCTCAACTTGTGCATCTGTGCCCAAGATTAACGAGTATTAGTTAAAATCATTATTCCTAGATTATATAAATAGTAATAAAAAAATTCTCTGTACTATTAAAACTGGTGTACAGTCGGTTATGTTGACATTTTGTCATAAGGGTAGGTTTACTGTACTTCAAATGTTTTTTTATTTAGAAGACCTCGAGCAAGGCTAGCTTGTCATGAATGGAGATGCACCTGCCAATGTGTAGCGATTGTGCAATACCACCTCTATAACTGGTTTATCTCCCGGAATGCCGGCATGTTACGGTTACTGAACTAATCCGTTGTTGTTTCAACTATGGGTGTCGTATCAAATATCCATGTACAATTTACAAGGGGTGGTACATGTATCACTGAAGAAAATGAAGAAAGAAATATGTAGATGTGAAAAAACATGTTTTCTGACTAACAATATTAAGATAGACATAATATCATCCACTTATTGAACATGCACAAATTTACAAATCGATTATGGACAAATAAATGGCATTTTATTCTTGCAGAGCAACTGACATAATTCAATAATCGTTACATGATATTATGACAATGAAAAGGAGACGTAACGACATTTGCAGAAATAACAATAACATTTACAATAACACATCATAATCATTCACAGTCCCACCAAATGAGACACAGTATCGTGGTACTGCCCTCGACACGGTTTATGCCCGGACTGTCGAAAACAAGAAATAATCCGTCCAAATTACTTGTCGACAGTCCGGGAAAGGGAGATGATGTTCTACATGAGTGACTTCACTCCCAGTGTTCTCGAAATTAACAATCCAATTAAAACAAAGTGTGATATATATGGTAGACAATATATTTATTCAGTCAATATAACAACATGCATATGTATCATGCATGTATCATATGTCACACAATATAACATATTTGTTATATATTTCATAAAGCTCACACAATATATTTGTGTGTGTTTTATATAAATAAGTGATTTCTGCAAGTGTATAAGTAATAAATATATAAAAGATGAGTCCAGTTATTTCTTCTTGCCAAAACTCCTTTATATGTGCACTAAAGATATCTGAATGTTCAGCCAAGATGAAGCAACTCTGACACATAGTCTGTGTAATTCAAATCAGTAAGTCTGTCGGCAAGAAGGTCGGCCTTCACGGATCGAATCCTAGCGTCGATGATTCGGTAGCGACGTCTACGGACGGGATCTCTCTGCTGTCCTTGGATCTGCTGAATTTTTACTTCAGTAGATGACTGTTCCTTTTGTAGCATTTGCACAACCTCAAATACATTCGGATGTGTCTTCATGGCATACTTGTTGATTTTGTTGTGCCAACCTTCCAAATTATTGTTAGTTCTGTGTCCATCATTTTCAAAATGATTCCAAGTTGGTAATGGTAATGGTAATCCTTCCACTCGCATAACGCGAAATAATAGTCTGTTTTTGCAACCTTAATTCTCTTGCAAATTGTTAAAAAGACATTCTCTTTAATCAACTTAATTCATTTACTCATGATACGAGCATAGCTGTAGCCACCATAGCCACTTGCAAACCACTAAGCAAACATTCTCTTTCATTAATTAACACCGTCACGGTATGTTGACCACGCGATGTCGACACTCCGGGTTTTTTGTTTTGTCGACGGTTAGGAACATCCTATTTTTCATTTGTCGACAGATCGGCCTGACACCCTCGACACATGCTTCTGCAACAGGTCCACATGAAAGTTTTTGTTTTTTTTCCCATTCTCATCAGGAGGCAAAGTCATTTTATACAAAAATCATACACATTGACAGGTGACAGTTCTAGTTACAATCGTTTTATACAAAAGTCATACAATCAAGGTTGTATAATTGCGGATCATCTAAGCTTGAGCAATTAGGTAAGTCGGTGCTATGGGTAATATTACTTGTTTGCTCATGGGTTCATTTGGTTTGTTTTCATAATAGCACCATATCATTCTGGGTAACCAAGACGTAGAAACATTCATACATTATTATACAGATGTCATGCCTCATACAAGCTTGTACATGTTGACAGTTCACAACACATCAGTCTTCAAACATGAGTAGATACATTCAAGTATTACTGCACAAAGATCATAGATTGTATACATTGAAGAGTCATAACACATCAGACCATGTTGTGTAATAGGTGCCCGTTTACTCCACATTCGTCTGGCTGGTTTTTCATTCTGGCAACATATCTTTCAAAGAAGCGATGGAGGATTTTAAAGACAAAATTAAATTTCTAATACAGCTTATGGATATAAATATGTATTCTTTTCCCGTCCGTGAATCGGCACATATTGTAATTCACTATCTCAAAATTCTACTTAAAGCATGTTGAAGAGTCATGACACATCAGTCCAGATTGTAAGTAGTGGTAGCCATTTGCTCATACATTCATTTTTTTGGTTTTTCATTCTAGCAACATATCTCTCAACTTGAAAAATATCTTTCAAGGTAGCAATAAAGGATTTGAAAGCTAGAGATTCATTTCTAATACAACTTATGTATATATATCTTTTTCCGGCCAAAAGAATGTGGTTCACCAGTTTGAAGTTTGCAGTCCCCTGGATACCAAAGAGGATGGATTTAAGATTAAGCTGAATCTCATAACACAGATGTTGTCTCAAAAATTGTTCCAGATTGTACCAAAAATGACTAACCTGTGGACATTCAAAATATACATGCACAATCGATTCGTTTTCATTGTTACATCTTTGACAAATACTATTGTCGATCAACTTCATTTTAAATAATTCCTTTTTGGTGTATATAATGCGATGCAAAAATCTATAATGGAAATCTTGTAGCTTGATATCTCTACAGCATTGTTTAGGAAGACTAAATATTTCCTTCCAGTTTAAGTCAGTTAAGAACATTTGTAGCCATTTACTACAGATAATAGGGAGATAATTATTTTGCACATGTATATCATATATCTTCCGAGATCCCTTTGATGGTTTAGTCCATTCCATAAGAAAGTTATTAATCCTAAGATCGTAGACACATATAGGTTTAGAATTGTCTATCACCCTTATCCATTCTTTATAGAGATTACTAACAACTCGATGATGGTCCAAATAAGTACCCTTGAGGTTGAATTTATTTTTCAAGTCTACAAAGGATAAGAGCCCGTTCTCGTCACATAGGTCTCTTATATAATGCACTCCTTTACAGAATCAGTTTTCTATAATGAAATTTTAGTCTGTACACAGGTGGTTAAACCATATCGGTTCAGCTAGAATAGCCTGAATATCTCTTGAATCTGTCAAATGAGACCTATAGTATTTACTCCAAATATGTATCAAATCCTGCCAGTAGGGGTTATCAATTTTACAAAGTCTGTAAGACAGTACATGAGCACCCAGTTGAAAAAGGAGTTTTAAAGGAAAGTAGCTATTATATAGGTTCTTAAGCATGCTTTTTTTTAGGATACTGAGCTTTAGCGATGATAAAAACACATTTTTATCTACCATTCTCAATCCACCATTCTCATAACTTCTTGTCAAATTCGCCCGTTTAATTTTATCAGGTTTGGAGTTCCAAATAAACTTTAATTTTTTTTAACTTAGTTCATCAACAAATTCTTTGGGTGGTTGAGGCAACGCAGAGAATATGTGAACAAGAGTAGATAATGCTAAAGTTTTTATCACAGTTATTTTTCCAATTAATGTCCATTTATGTTTACGCCAATTTGCTAATAATCTCTTAATGTTTTCTAGTCTTTTTCTGGTGTTGATAACCCATAGTTTTTCTAAATTTGCGTTTAGTTGAATACTAAGAACTTCAAAGTCACCATGAACCCAATCTAGATTAACATCTTCACACACTTTAATATTCTTTCCAATCATTGACCCAAGTCATATTGCCTTAGTTTTATTTGAATTCATTCTTAATCCTGAATAATAGTAAAAACTTTCCAAAGTGTTAAGTGCAGCTCTTAGGCTTTCTTCTGAGCCGTCCAAAAAGGCTGTGTATCGTCAGCATACTGTCCTAATTTATGCTCTATGTTTATTAAATAAATGCCTTTAATCGTATCATTATTTCTAATCATAGTGGTCAGTATTTCGGCTACAAAAAGAAATAAATATGGGGAGATTGGGTCCCCCTGTCTGCAGCCTCTACCATTGTCAAAAAATGAAGTACCTACAAATGTGGAATTTCTAGTTAATAAACCAAAGTAAAAGAACAAAAACAAAATGTATAAAAACAAAGAAAAAGCCTGGAGGCGATGTTGGTCAACCTGGATTCACCCTGCCCACATACGGTAAGTTAAAGAAGCATTATGCAGTTGTATGTGAAAGTAGATGATATTCGTTGAACACATTGTTACTTATGCAACAAAAATCTGAGAGCAGTGACAACCTGTTCTTCAATATAAGTAGGCTTTCACTGAAATTGCATTAAGGAATTGTGTATCAATCTTCGTTGTAAATTTGATTCGTAGTGTTTCCTTAACGAAAAACAGGTGTCACCCAAATTCTACTTTGGTTATGGTGCAAAATAACAGAGAAATAAACATTTACATTCTAACAGGGGTTAGCAAACCTTCGCTGGAAACATTGCACTTTGTCAATAAAACAAAACTTAGAAAAAGTGGCATCATATTCATCAGTGTGGAGCTGCGGTGTCCACATAGTTTACAAGTGACATAAGCATCATCAGTCAAGATTGCCTTATGAAATAGTTTGTCAAATAAAGTTTAGTCCGTAATATTGAAGATAAGCATCGACTGGTTTCCATTTTGTATGATACGAAAAAGCAAAGAAACACCATTCAAAGTTCTGAAAACATACATTACAGGAATCACTGTACCTTAAGAACATAAGAGATTAAGAAACAATGTTATCAGCACAAAGTTACCCTGCCCATACATTTGTTTTAAATACCTCTGATGTAGCTATGAGATAACTTGTAGTAGCAAATTCTGTTACATTTGATAACATGAGTATCGTGTGGTAAGCAGTCAAGGTGATAATATCATGTGACTTTACAGAAAAAGAAATCAAAATGTCTTCTTTAAGATTGATTAATTGTTGTTTAATGTCACACTCGGCAATATTCGGGCTATATGGCGACGGTTTGTAAATAATCAAGTCTGGACCAGACAATCCAGTGATCAATAGGGGTGGGTGAAAATACCGGTTAACTGGTATATTCCAATCGAACTTCGCAATACAATATATATTGCGGTACACTTTTCGCGAACTGGTTCACCCGATACGATCGGCGATTATGATCAGTAATTGTCGTGATGTAGTAAAAAATACTAATAACAATTGTATTTCCTTTATATTGTTATACATTAATAGATCTCTGGGAACTCGGGGTCATGGCAGTAAAAATCTCTGGTTGACTGGTGTTGAAAGAGCTAAACCTTCTGTTACACTTTCACAATATATTGCAATACATACTGCAATACGCCAACACATATCACAATATATCGCAGTACGAAAATTTTGGCAATACCCAACTCTAGTGATCAACAACATGAACATCGATCTACGTAATTTGGATTCGATGACATGTCAACCAAGTCAGCGAGCCTGACCACCCAGTCTCATTAGTGATCTCTTATAAGCATGAGTTACTGAAGACCAGTTCTAACCCTGGTCTTCACAGGTTCTTTTTTAAGAAGGGGCAGTGGGGTAGCCCAGTGGTTAAAGTGTTCGCTCGTCACGCAGAAGACCCGGGTTCGATTCCCCACATGGGTACAATGTGTGAAGCCCATTCCTGGTGTCCCCCCGCCGTGATATTGCTGGAATATTGCTAAAAGTGGCGTAAAACCATACTCACTCTTCTTTAAGAAAGGAGGGTGGACCTTACATCTTTAAGGCTTGTCCACTACTAGTCTGTCATACAGACCCTGAAACAAATATATCCAAGAAAGCCCATGCAAGTCTAGAATATGTGGCAAGTCTAGAAAATGAAGAAAGTCTAAGGGCTCCTTTTAATTTTATTATTATATTATTATTAGCCTAACCAGATTGGTTTTTAACCCTACCAAAATCTGGTTTTAGAGATAGGGAAAATATGTTTCAGATTTGGAGCCAATATTGAAGAGGTATCTGTTAGTTTTAGTGCTTGTCACAAGGGACCATAACAAGGAGTTACAGTGCATTCCATTCATGTCAGAAATCAAGAATTAAAAAATATTGACCATTTTGGCAGGAATATTATTTGACAGTTAAGTAATAATATCATAGATAATTAAGCTAGCTAGTTAGGGCTACTAATATACTACTAGATTCACAACAAAACTGCCTTCAATTCCCCTCTTGTGATATATTCTTTTACAGGGTTTTACCTCGACTCACTGACACGGGAGTCCCGGGACCCCTAGTCATGCTAATTACGGTACTAGTATTAAGGGTCCTTGGTGGCAATATGAGGGTCCTGTGAAGTGCCAGTTTAGAGAACTGTATGTTTTGATAATTTCTTTAGAGTCTGGAATGAATCATTGATCATGTGGACTGATGGGCGGACTGATGCAAGTAAATGCTCTGAAAGAAACAACCAAACACTTAGCAAAGTCATAGATGTGTTGTGGGTACAATGAATAATATTCTGTGCCCCTCTGGATGCCGTGTATTTGGATGCCATTTGCACGTCGTGCAAAACCCTGCTCTTATTTAATTTTAATTTATTTAAAAACGAAATGCTTTACATCTGAAAGATTGGAATAGTTTCATTTGCCTCTACGATAGTTTGGATAGTGGGGTAGCCTAGTGGGTAAAGCGTTCGCTTGTCACGCTGAAGATCCGGGTTTGATTCCCCACATAGGTACAATGTGTGAAGCCCATATCTGGTGTCCCCTGCCATGATATTGCTGGAATATTGGTAAAACTACTAAAAGCGGCAAAAAAACTCACTCACTCACTCACACTCTTGAAGAATTCAGGTGAGCTACAGAACTTTTTCAGTAAATTTTTCGGACTTCATCAATAACAGTATTGAGGCAGTCATGGAAACTAGATATAATACATAGGACTATTTACAGGTGTATGCTGACTACACAATCATAACAGACAGGTTTTCATAGCATGAATTCATTAATTCACTCACCTTTTTGTCCTGATATTCTAAAAGAATACTGAATGGAATTGGACCATAGTTTTGGATTCATGCCAACCTGCATCAAGTAAATTAATCATCCATGTCGCTGATTAATGACTTTGTTTCAAGTCAACATGATCATGAACAAAAATAACATGGGTATTGTGTCTGTGAAGAAACCTTTTTATCCCTCTGTCCGTGCATGCATATTTGTCTTTACCGCTTTTTGTGGAGCTGAACTCTAAAACCGTTCACTATTTCTTCACCAAACTTGGCACATAGATAGATCTGGTGGTGTACTGGTGCCTTTTGGTAGTTTTGGAATTCTGAATAAAATATTTTTGGCATTTCCATGGCAACAAGTTTGACTTAGC